TGCACTGCTTAGGCCCAGTACGGCCAAGACCACAATGATCCGCTGCATTCTCTCCTCCTGCAGCGGTGCTCCTACGCTCGCCGCTAGTACTATCTACTAGCAAAGAGTTACTCAGACTGTGTCTTCAAGTGAAGGTAGTCCTGTCTTTGCTTGGACCTCTTTACGCTACGAGTACCACCGTAGTAAATGCTATTTTGCTCCACAGTAGATCTACTGCTCATAATAAATATTATTATTATCATTGACTTGACGGCGAGCGCTAGCGCTACATAAAAATTAATAATAATTCAATATGAACTTTGTGAAGGCTCCTGATCTGCGTGCTTGGCCTTGGCTTGGGGCGCCGGGCGGGGTGGAGTAGAAAAAAAGAAAGTGAACAAAAAAGTGTTCTTCGAGCCGGATTCGAACCGGCGACCCGATGATCACTGCACAGCGCCGAAGCACAGCGCACAGCACGTCCCCCCTGCTCGACACAGGTCCGGACCACGGTCGGCGGCTTAGCTATCGAAGCAGGCCGGAGTGGGGGGCAGGCACTCGTCTCTGCTTCGAAGCGCCAGCACGACCGAGATACGGCTTGTTCGCAGAAGGGGTTCGTGGTGCGCTGGGGTGGTGCAGTGTCCTGCATGCTGGAATAGACCAATCCCGAAAAGATTGTCTGGGTTCGAAAGGGGGCATGTCAACTGAGAGTACACTGTACAACACATACATGGCACTACCTGATCAGCATGCGGCACAGGACGTGTTTGATAGTTCGCGTGTGAATGCGAGGGTAAGTACACGATTTTCTCGTTAGTTGCATGCAAGAGAGACGATGCGACAGAAAGCGAAGCCCAGGCTTTGTAGTTTTCTCTCTCGCACTGGTAATCATGGTAATGGTCTGCTGTTGGAGTTGAAATGCTAAGACATAATCCTTGTTTCGCTCTTCTGTGTAGTGTGAAGAGGTCAACGAACATGTAGAGCTCACTTTGATGAAGTACGCAAGGCTGTGAGCGCTGTGGCTCAAAGCGATAGGCCCTAAATCTTACGAGATATTTCGAGTGCTATTGTTTGTTGCGAGCGCTTCGTCTTCGATGAGTCCTGCCTCTTTCCTGGCAGCTGCCCTCCTATAGGACCAACCACGAAGTGACTGTACTCATCTGCAGCCGATCAATGTTATATTGCACAAGAAGATATCGTTTTCGCCAAGCCAGTGCCCCGCCAAAGACCATCGCCGTGTCACACCGTCGGAACGAGTTCATGATGAGAATCATCATTCGCGCGAGCGTGATGAAGAACTATTTCGAAAGACAACATAGTCTTTACCCCCGGGACGACAACTATGTGCACGTCCTGCAAGGGGAGAATGTCACCAGCGACATCAACGAAGACGACGGCAGTATTTCGGAAACCTGGAGTCAGCGGAGGTCGTCAAGCTCCTCCGCGACCCGGTACATGTACAGTATAGGTGACATGTCGACACGAGCGTGCGGAAACACAGCATACACTGTAGTAATGTTGCGAGAGTTTGCGGAAGAAGTCCAAGTCGGGAAATCCATCAGCTCCAAAAGCTACCTGAAGGTGGGCGATGAGAGTCCAGCTTCAGACTACAACAGTCAGGACTTGTAAATAGTTGAACTTTGTGAAGCAGCAGATCGAGAAGTTAGCTGAAATTGTAGCTGTTTCAGTATGTCGGCGCTATGTAGCTTGCATTTTTTTACGGAGAGTCGATCGCCACGCGAATGTTTCTCTCCTCACCGAGAGCTATCTGGCCTCCAAACTCCGTCAGGGTCTGCCTAAGGTACCGAAGGTCCTTTGACTAGCTGCTGGCAGGACTCCATCAAATCCTTTAGCTTCAGCTCGGCGAGCAAAAGTCTCTCTCTCCTCCGCCATGAGCTGACACACACAAACTGAATACAAAACGATGCACTTCACACGTGCTGGCTTGCACGCGTGCCCCCTTTCACGAACCCAGACAATCTTTTCGGGATTGGTCTATTGCAGTCACCGGCTCTACCAACTGAGCTATCGAGGGACACACTCGTACGATCGTGGTGTTCCACATATCATAACTACCGGTAAGGGGTCGTCCACAAATATCGATATTTTTTTAGAGAAGATATTCGTTCGTTTGAGGGGGAGGGGGTTTGGGCCCTGTTCGTCTCGTCTTTGCAGAAACAATATCGAACTCTATCTATGGACGGGCGCTGTTCGAACATGTAGTTTATGACCTACACAAAGTGAAAGTCAACCTCGTGTCGTGAGCATAGCCATGGCAAGGTTGTGCGACCGTGTCAACATAAACCTATGTTCGTTTTGAAGGGGGAGGGAGGGGGTCTGGGGAGAAATGAACAAATATCGTCTTGAAAAAAACATCGATATTTACGGACGGCCCCTTTAATCACTGTGCGTGCTAGCCTGTCCCTCCAGGAATTCGCGATTCCACGGATGCAACAAATTTCGCGATTTTGGCCCAAACCCGCGATTTTCAGCAAAATCCGTGATTTCCCGCGTTTTTTGTTGTTTTCTGCACTATATCTCACATGTTTCATGCACTTTTCACACAGTGCTTTCCATGATCCTGTAGGTTATTTGCACAGTATGACTAGTACTACTCCGGAGTAGATATACGATGCAACAAATTTCGTGATTTGGCCCAAATCCGCAATTTTCTGCAAATAATTCCGCGAATTCCTAGCAAGTTCTGCATCATTCCGCACTTTTCGTCGCATTTTTTGTTGTTTTCTGCCGCAATTTCTTGCGCAAGTTTTCGAGAGTTTTTTCCGCAAATTCCCGCAGGGACAGGCTAGCCTAAACTGCTTGAACATGTACAATCATGTACATGTACATGATTGTAGATAAACCTTATTTTAGTTCACACAGTCATGTGTGATCATGTTGTTGGTTTGACTACTAGTACTACACGTAGACGTACTGTAGTAGTAGTACAGAACACGGTGTCCTGCATGCACATTGTTTCATGCTGTCAAACCAACAACTACTTGACGACAGACTACTACTGTACTAGTACTAGTAGTAGTACAATCATGATTGTACTACTGAGTACTAAAAAGTTCTGTACAATACAATCAGCATGTGCATGACCGGCTTGGTTTGGCGTGGTGTTGTTTCGTTCAAAACGAGGACTTTTTCTAAAGAAGTTCCTTTCTACTGTAGACCTCCCTCAGCAAATTGTACCAATAATGAAGAGGGTGTGATATTATTATGAAGAGGGTATGATATTATTATGAAGAGGGTATGATATTATGAAGAGGGTATGATATTATGAAGAGGGTATGATATTATGAAGAGGGTATGATATTATTATGAAGAGGGTATGATATTATGAAGAGGGTATGATCATGAAGAGGGTATGATATTATGAAGAGGGTATGATATTATGAAGCGGGTATGATATTATGAAGAGGGTATGATATTATTATGAAGAGGGTATGATATTATGAAGAGGGTATGATCATGAAGAGGGTATGATATTGTCGTCGGGGGGTTTTAATCCCTCGCACGATAGCCCTTCCGATTACTCTCTTATACCTCACACGCATACGCCACACTCAGAGGACAGATTGTTTTCGTCTTACTCCAAGGAGAGTCTCAGGAAGAAGGCACACAAAACAATCAGGATGCGCACGATAAGCATGCACGCATGCGCAACCTGCACGTGCCAAAAGGCGCACACACGTGCCAAAAAGGGCAGGGACAACATATTTCCACACGAAAAAAAATGCATCCTCTCCTGAGGATGGGAGAGAAGAAAAACAAAAAGAGAAGACAGACAGGAGAAAAAGAAATCAAATGTGAACAACATACACATGCAGATACGCAGGGCCAAAACAGTAGGATACATTAGTAACTCCGGACAACGGGGGAAAAGCCAAAGCAAAGGGGTGGAAAGAAAACAGACTGGGCCCACCCATAGAGGGAACCGCCATCTTTCAGGCGTGGGCCCCCGGAAAACAACCACCTCGCCCTGGTGCGAAGCCAAGGCAAACGGACGGTACGGCGAAGACCGCGGCAGCTGAACCGGGTGACCAGTCATCTGACAGCACAGGAGTTGTCCGGAAAACCATCACGCAGCCGATGGGGCTACGAAAACTCACAGATACACACACAGAAAGAAAGAAACAAGGACTGACGCAAACATCTCAGCAATACTAGGAGCCAAAATTCAGACAAGAAAAACCACAAGAAGGAATGGCAGAACAGCAACGTTGAACACGCCTACGGATACAGGGGCAGTCTATCCATGAGGACACCAGATAGCACACAAACAAATCGGTCACCAATACGCAAACAAAAATTAACATAGAAAAACCACAGGGCGCTACCCTGAATAACCACAGGCCTCTAACCTGAAAAAACCACAGGTCTCTAACCTGAAAAAACCCACAGGGATTGAACCTGAATATCACGCGTGAAACACAACCGCTCACGAAACACAAAAAAAACACCGTCCTGAACCCTACTGGGACGCACAAAGGCCAGCCAGCAAAACACGGAAACCGAACACCCGCAAGGCGAACCGATACAAATAAGCGCTGGATCCCACCAGCCCACCAGGCAGACCGTGGCTCACCATGATCGGACGCCCCCCTAGGTGAAATGAAGAGACCCACGTGCCAAAACACAAATACCAAACAACACACTCACAGAAATATTGCCACCCGGACCGTCAACGAGAATCTCAGAAGCATGTTACACCACTGGGCGTCAGCCATTCCACATGAGCGGGACAACCAGGCGGAGCACTAAAACGCTCGACACAAAACATGATTACTAGTAAAACGAAAAAGAAAGCACTTGTACTTGAAACTGGAAACGACGGAGTGCCACCACATCGAGTAAATCGATGGGGACATCTACCAAACTGAAACAAATCGGACGACACAGGATCGGAGCAGTCCGACGACACCGAAACGACGTGCACCAGTGCACAACACAGGGCGAGTAAGCAAACACGAGCTAAGCAGTAAGTTACTAAGCTACCCATGCTGACTACCATGATGACGTACCAAGCAACACGATGAGCATGCACGACAGCACGGACAACAGAACTAAGCAAGTCAGAAGGTGTGAAAACACAGTGCACACGACCACTCGAACAGCCAGAGGCCGGAGGGCGACAATGTACACTGGTTCAAAACACCGCACACACAACGTGGGCCACAGTCATGTACTAACAAGAGCGAGGCTCGAACGAGGTACTTGTACACAAGAGAACAACCCGGGACTTCAATGCCACGAAGCGAAACAATTATTTTGAAAATCCCAAATCGAAGACTAGTACCAGGAGAACTACGTACAAGGTACCAAACATTACGCAGGGCAGACAAAGCATGCTCACCTGAGTAGGAGCTCCGAGGACAGGGTTGAGCAGATGGAGCAAAGCGGAGCCATGGCGAGGACGCGTGGAGAAGACAAGATTTGAAGCCACGGCGAAAACGAAAACGATCTCAGGGTCGTGGGAAACGATGCCACTAGCTGGGCGCCAATTGTCGTCGGGGGGTTTTTATCCCTCGCACGATAGCCCTTCCGATTACTCTCTTATACCTCACACGCATACGCCACACTCAGAGGACAGATTGTTTTCGTCTTACTCCAAGGAGAGTCTCAGGAAGAAGGCACACAAAACAATCAGGATGCGCACGATAAGCATGCACGCATGCGCAACCTGCACGTGCCAAAAGGCGCACACACGTGCCAAAAAGGGCAGGGACAACATACAATATTATGAAGAGGGTATGATATTATGAAGAGGGTATGATATTATGAAGAGGGTATGATATTATGAAGAGGGTATGATATTATGAGAAGTGAGACAAGAAGGAAACAATACACAGTGTAAAGAGAGACAGACAGACACACACATACACAGGTACGTACAGTCGTACATACACACACACCACATACACACACACACACACCACATACACGCACACTTGTACACAAACACACACACACATACGCACACACATGCGCGCGCGCGCACACACACACACACACACACACACACACACACACACAATCACTTGTACACACTAGGGTCCGGCGGATTCTGCCGGCAGAAAAATTGGCAGAATTCGGTACTTTTTCTGGTAAGTTCCATGCATGTTTAGTATGTGGATAAAGAAACGGAGCAGAATTCGAGGAATTGCCCGCCATAAGGTTTGTATGGTTCTGCCAATTTCACTGCTTTTCGAGCAGAATCTGCCACCTTTTCGAGCAGAATCCGCCGGTCCCTGGACTCTAGTACACACAAACACTTGTACACACACACTTGTACACACACACACACACAGAATTCCTAAAGCGAATAATTGCCGCTGACCAGAAGCGCCAAACCATTGCAGCACGACTGAAAGTGAATTCCTAACAACATAATTATCAGGTGGTTAGAGCATTGCTCATGACAAGCAAGGTCCCGGGTTCGAGTCCTGGTGGACCTGGCATTATTTATCTATTTTCAGGCAGTTCACTTCCCCAGCTGATCCTTTTAACACAATTGTAACAATTGTCATCATAAGCACATGCACATACAGTGCGTGTACTACTGGAACCTCAGTATACCAGTCACATGACCAAGCAGACAGTCACACACTGGTTGAGATCCCAGTGGCCGGAGAGAGAGCAAAACTTGAAAATGGGTTTAGATCCAACTCCACCAGGTTCGCTCACGGGTTATTGTTATCATAATGATATTCGAAGAGTCGGCGTGGAGAAAGTAATTTTATAAGTGCAATAAAGAATATAATAAATGTAGACATGGCCAGACAACAACGAGTTTATAATAATATTCAACAACAAGTTTATAATTATATTCCTATGTTTATAGGGCAGTCCCCATAGACTCAAGGTCTTCTTTCAGGGTACCTAAGAATTTCAAAAGTAATGCATGTTTAAAATAGGATTGGGGATGCAGTAGTGCAGCTATCAGAAGGAGGACTATTCCATATCCGTCCGTCAGAGAAAACAGACCGTAGCTTGAATAAAATTGGGATAGAATAAGGCCACTGGAGGAGTGAAGGCGGGTTCGGCATCGTTAGCTGCTGAAGAACGGAGTAAAAAGAGGTCCCGAAGAAGCACACTAGTCTGGCCTTGGATGCAACGAAAACGAATTGTGTATAATTTGCAACGGCGAAAGCAATCATTCTGCAGAGGGTGCTCGTTTACTGGCACAGTGCAACTACGTACATGTACATGTAAGTGAGGCAAGCGGCCTTAGCATGACACGGCACTCGCTCAGACAGCTCAGTAAATGGTAGATACTCCGCTCTCCTGAGGCTCTCTGACTTGTCGACGAGCATCCTGGATGCTACCAGCTACAAATACACATGAACAGTGGCAGCCAAGACCAGCACGCGGCAGCCGCTGTCACTCCACGATGTAATGGACCTACAGGTACTTATCGAACAATGCTTCGTCGCCGACGGTCGACACTCCTTTACTTTCGGGGACGTCACCTACATCCTGCGAGGATTTGCCAAGGAAATCCGTCACGGATATCATCTTCAAAAGTTTGAGGTTACGCGGCACATGTTGATTCATGCGTCTCTTCTTAGGGACGCTTGTTTTCCGCTGAACAATTCTCCACAGGATCCTTAATAGTGAATTTGGTGTTATCTTTAGCACAGTCACCAGGCAATGCCCTTCGCTCCACTTGGGGTTCTTATCCGCAAAGTAAGCAATGTGGGGATCGCAAAGCTCATCATCAGTGATCGGCGCCGCGTGTTCTTCCAGCCTGACTGCCGTAGATTCCAGAACGCCAGTTTTGTCGTTATACTGACGCTGCGGCGTCTCGCTCGCGTACCCATACTCGTCCATGAGGGCTTGTTCGAAGGCTGGCGTCTCCTGATCATAGCGTGGATACGCCTCGCTGGAACTGCGCATCGCAACCAGGTACGTCTTGTAGCTGAACAACTTGACCAAGAAATAGATGGGCTTACCAGGATGTCGTATAAATGCCGCAAGAAAGCGCGATAAATAGAATATGTATGGAAGCACGCCACCTCTGTATTCGCGTTGCACTACCCAGAGTCCCGAGCGCATTTGCACTATGTCCTGGCCGCGAAATTCTCGCGGCATTTCATCCAGCACCGCCATGCCGCGTAGTGAGCCATCAATCCTATCGCGATACAAGACTATTGATTTGTACGAGAGCAGTGTGTCTTGGATTGCGGCAATGTCCACGCCCGGATCGGTCGTCATTGCAGAGCGCAGCAGCGCCTCCACCTCTACCAGAGACGTGGAGTCCAAGAACGCCGTCTCCAGCACATACATCAGCAGGCGGGATTTGGCGGATATTCTACGTATCGAAGTGGTGCCGCCAAGGGCGATTTTCACCAAAACGAGAATGTCAAGCAACATATCTCGCATCCAGTAGACTAGGCACAGTGCCGCTCCAAGGAGAACGTAGCCGAACATTCTGCGGTACACGATTCTGATCCACGCTATTGAAATCTGAGCAGCTGCAAGGACTTGGTCACTGCCGTATTCGCCAGCCGGCGCTTGCCTTCAATCGAGAGAGAGAGAGAGAGAGTTGGCCAATGTGTCCAGAGGTTATTGAAAATTATTTGGTAAAGACGATCGATCGCGTGCACATGTGCTGCGTGCATTTGATGTAGAGAATCGAATGATGTAAACATTAGGCGGAGAAAGAGAGAGGTTTCACTACGGAAGCGGGTGAGCACGGAAGCTAGCACTGCCTGCATTATGTGTCACCATGGTCACAGTGCCAGCTAGCTAGTATAGACACTGGCAACTGAAAGCCGACCCCCCTACTGTCTCGTACGAATCGCTAACGCGGCTAGCGCACCGCTAGGGGGGGGGGGTCGGATTTCAGTTGTCAGCACTGTAGCTACATGACTGTACTGATGTAGCGCTAGCTAGCTGGCACTGTCAAACATACATGACTGTAGTGTCTGTACACTGTCTGTAGTGTAGTTAGGGTTACAGGCAGTGCTAGGTCGGCGGTCACGATGCTCACCAGCTTCCGTAGCGAAACCTCTCTCTTTCTCCGTCGAATGTTTACATCATTCTAATGCACGCGCGCAGCACATGCACACGCGATCGATCGTCTTCACCATTATTTACAGGTTCGGGACCAGGTTCGGGACAGTTAGGCCTAAAAATTTAATTTCAACATCAGCCCAATCTGACATCAGGTTTGAATAGGTACAGCCTTATATTTTCGCTTAGTAACATCAGTTTTTCGGTCTTGCCAAAAACACAATTTTCCTTGATGACACAAAATAACACAAAATCCCAAAATTGATGAGAAATCGTCCATAACAACAGTTAGGACAGAAAATATGACATAAAATTTTACAGACTGTTCGAGGTATTGACTAAGATGATATCAACACCGAAAAATGTACACTTTGGTTGACGATGGGATATGATCCAGGTCGTCATTTCCTGGAGAAGAACAAAAAGACGCAAAAAATGAAACTTTGAATATTTTTTGCAGCTTATTTTTGAGTTTGCCCCATATGTGGATACTTCAAACACGTTCTATAAGTGGGTTGGAACAGGTTTACCGGGGCGAAAATAGGGGTCACCGTGCATATGCTGGAGAAAAATCCAAAAAACTGTCAAAATTTGCCTAAAATTGGTAAATTCACGTATCTATATTGCTTGTACTTCTCTGCTGCTGCTTTGGTCATAACTTATTGGATTTTTGGCTGTTAGGTGTTGCATAAACTCACTAGAGCCCTCGGCGTTCAGAACAATACAAGGATGGAATAGCTGAATTAGTAAATTTGCCGGAAAACCCTGGGTGCACGCATTATCAATAGGTACTTTTCTCCATGATTACTCTCCTGTTGGCACTTGGTTGTGATACATGTACATGTAGCTATGATAGCGCTTAGCACTGCCCCATATCAAACTACAATGAAACCTGACATGTTGGAACGAATCAGACAACATTGAGTCCTCTTGTTCTTCAACTATGCGAGCTAGAATGTGTCCCCACACTGGCAAAAATGATGGTATTTTACGGTGCGCACAAACAAGTGAAGCACTGTGCCACAGGGCGTTCCTTACAGTTGGGTTGCTGCTGGTTCTTCGCTAGGTGTTCAGCCACCGCTAATATAATCTTCCTTGAGACTGTCACCCGCTTCTTACCTCCGACTTGCTCCTTCATCAGTCTGGAAATGGCTGGCTCACCACTTCGTTTGTAGGACAAGACAAAGTGCTTCATCACCAACCCACTGGCAGCTGCCCGCACTGCAACTGATTTAGAGAAGCACGTTGCTTGGACCAACGGTTGAAGGGTTGCCAGCCGCTTTTGCTAATGTTCTGAAAACTCCATCGCCAAACATGCTGATGCAAAAGTGACAGAGTGCTACAGGATACTGGCATCAGGGCGAGCTTCGACAATTTCAGCTAGGGCCGCAACATCCGCAACAGCATCATGAGCAGCGAACTCATTCCCAACGATGAACTATAAATCAATCTGAGGCTGTAGCTTGGGAGCTCCGGTATCGCGGTTTAGGGATCAGAGTGTTCACCAATCACAAAAATGCACACCATCGACACACACATCCGTGCACACATACACACACACACACACACACACACACACACACACACACACACGCACACACACACACACACATGCATGCTCTCACACGCAATAGAACACACGCGCGCGCGTACACACACATACATTCACGCACGTGTGCGTACCCACCCACATACATGTGCACACTCATGTGCATGAGTGGAGATGCCCGCATACACATGTCACACCAACATGCCCTGGGGGCGGTCATGCACGTGTGTATAGTATGTGTGCGAGGGCACGTCCACATGAGCGCATATGCATGTGCATGGTCATACATGCGTATGGTGCACACATGCACAAACATGCAGGTCTATGCAAACACACAGACGCTCGCGGCCGCCGCGCATACAGTGTGCTCATACATTCCATAGCCATAGGGTGGCAATGACTCGCAAATATCATGAATAAATCTTATGAGATTAAAAAACGCACTTACCCAAAGCAGCTTTGGTGTTGCTTGTGGAAGCACGGGGGCCAGGGTGTTGAGCAGTTACAGGGCTATCTGTATAAAATTCTCCATCCCACACTGCTGACACGGAATGACAAGTACGCTGCCCAGGTCGTACCTCTTCTCTTCAACGCAATCAATGAGCGCCAGAGGTTTGCCACATCCAGGATTCTGGCACGCAGACAATCCCACAGCCAGATACCTGAGATGAACGATTCGTCGACCGTGAAGAGGGGCACTGAACGACCTCTTCGCGGGAGTCGAATCCAGTGGCGTTAGTGATGGAGATCGCCCTTTCCGTTTTTCAGGAACTCGATCGATCGTTTGAGTTTGCGAAGCGTCCCCCTCCTCGGCTTCTTGCATCGTCCAGTACGATGAATGAGAGGCCGCGCCGCGTCGTGGGTGACGGATTACTCTCCCGCGTCTTCATCTCCACGACACGTCGGCAGGAGAACCGAGCTATCCAAAAACCGCCAATGTCAAAACAAATCCGCAAGTCCACTACATGTAGTGTAGCTTCTTCCTCAAATCTTGTCTCGACTCGAGCACGCGCTGCGAAGTCATCATGGTCATGGTCAAACTATTATCTGTGCATGATCGCGTCCCATTTTTCCACTCCGAAAGGCATTATTTTTTCAGAAAAAATTCGGAAATCCAACATGGCGCTAACCGTCGCGAACGCTTGTGGCTCTTATTTGTCAGCTTGGATCACGTGATCCATCCAGCTGCCGCGTGCGGCAAACAGCCCAAATAGCGCTAACTCTGGCCTGCGAGCGTTTGCTGCGACTAGCGCGCTAGCGCTCGTGACATACACAAACGCGCTAGCCAGAATGCTTTGACTTTGATGGCTTTCAGCTTCTATTTTTTGAAAAGTAGCGCGCTCAGACCAGCTCGCTCACTCTTTTCCTCTTCCATTTTTTAGGGCAATTGTTTTGTTTGATAGACGAAGCTTAGGGTCTCTTTGGGTTTGCAACCCTTACCCTCCTGGAAAAAATCATAGTTGCTAGACTGCGACACTTCAGACCAGGTACTATTAGAGCCGCTAATGGACGACGAGCTATTTTCCGCTATCCGGAGCTCAAGCATTTGAGCCGCTAAATGGACGAGACTCCTGCGGCAAAGGATGCAGAGAATGAGGAGAAAACACTCGTATGGAGCAGGGAGTAGGTATTGTACTACTTCCTGGTATGGAGCACTGAGAAGCGGTAAGTCTTAGGGCAATTCTTAGCCAGTAATTACTTTCTGGCCATAATTATGTTCTCGTTTTTCGTGTCTTCTGTAATGCCAGTACACTAGCAGTACGACTACACTGTAGGCGAGAGTCCATAAGCCAGAGTGTGCAGCTCTCCATCTATGCAGCATAAACAAATTAATGACAAATTTCCTTTCCCTAAGGGCTGGGTTCCACTGCCGCTCCGCCGCACATCATCCACGGCATGAAACGTCATCATTACGAGCTGGTCCAGCGAGGCCGCGGCTCATCACCAGCTTTCGCTTCGCTGCTTGATACAAAAAAATGCAAGCCGCGGTCACGGCTTGCATTGTTTCCCGCATTTAATTGTTTTATTCGGGGGAATTTTAATTCGTTGCACAGGCCAGAACACGAGGATTTTTTTGGATTTCACGCGCGCGCAGGCAGGCTAAATGTCATCAAAAAACGTCGAGCACGATCGCGGTACCGTGAATGGCGAGTGTCACTAGAACCACGCCGCTCTGCTGCATGCAGCCAAGTACCGTGGAGCAGCGGAGCTGCGGAGCCGCAGTGGAACCCGGCCCTAACCAAACTTATAGCAATTTGAAAATGTTTGACAATTTTTCATAAAAAAACTTGACAACATTGTTCTTCTGTAGAGTGCCGCTGGCAACTCCATCGATGAACTCCATCAATGAGCGCAGGGATAAAGTTTAGAAACCCTTCGAGCGAGAACGTGTTTTCAAAAAGGAAGCACAAATATGCCGCGTAACTTCCCCTCTAGTATGGCCCCATCAAAGCCACTCGCTGACTACTTACCAGTAAAATGGGGTTGGACGGTTGTCAGATTAGCTGATATGTTTTCTGCCAACACAACCATAAGCAGTTGTCAACTCTCAAGACTAAAAGAGCTTGCGAAGAAAGTGAGAAACCTTGGCTATGAAAGCACATGAAGCGTCAGAACATAATCGAGCAAACTTGGACCTAGATTACCAGTGTCTGCTCCAGAGCCGGGTCAGTGACCCTGTTCGTGAGTCCTTGGATCTTTTGGAAAAAGAACACTGGGTTACCTGCGACCCGGTCGGAAGTCCTGTCGAGTACTATACTTTTTTATACTACGAGGGTATACCGCCACTGACAGGCTGCATACGCGTGCAGATGCGTGCGGCCAGAGTTCCCAGTGCGAGTACGTTCATACATGTACAGTCAACTTCGCTAATAACGACTGCGGATATAACGACAATTCGCGAATAACGACCGAATTTCCATGCCCAGAGCAAAGTCCCATCTAACTGTATACATTTTACTTCGGATATAACGACTATCTGAATAACGACAATTCGCGTATAGCGACATGCTTTTAGTGCCCCGAGGTCATATTCACTGCTTGAATAACGACTTTCTGGGCTTTTGACAGCTATTTCAAGTACCTGTCAGTCAAGTACATGTACATGTACCTGTCATGCAG